CAATCAGTTCTATTTCTGTCCGCCCCCCCTCCGATTCTTTCCTCCTCCCACGCACTTGCTTGTAACACTTCTCGCGATGGCTGCGGCCAGGACACCTCGCTTCACCGCCACTGCGCCTCCACGAGGCATTATGGGGAGGTGCGAGCTGGGCTGCCCACCCCCGTCGATGAACAGGCGCTGGCATCTGTGTGCTTAGGTGGCCCCAGGTCGGTCACAGCCGCTGCAGGCGAGGCAACCATAACCGAACAATGCGCGAGGTCATTGGAGCAAGAGCAAGTAAGGATTCATTAACCGAATACGCGCCGCACACCAGAGGATTCATGAATCATGCAGCCATTTTGGCTCAAGCCGCTTAGCCTCGAATCCTGACGTTTGCCCTGGGCGCGCGAAACTGCACGCAAGCGGCACGGTCACGGATGGCCCGCGCGCTGACCGGGCTCTCCCTCCTGGGCGCCGCATGGGCGCAGCAGGCGGGCACCCAGCAGGAGGAGGTTCACCCGGCCGTCTCGGTGACGAAGTGCGAGCCCGAATGCGCCGAGGAGTTGCTCATGCTGACGCTCGACTCTCAGCGCCGTTGGTTGCACAACGCGGAGCTGACCAACTGCTTCGAGGGTGAAGACTGGGACGGGCACATCTGTCCCGATGGGCAGACGTGTGCGACCTCCTGCGAGTTGGAGGGCATCGACGTGGATGCTTACTCGACGACCTACGGCGTGACCGCTGCAGAGAGTGAGGTGGAGATCAAGTTCATCGTCGAGACGGAGTTCGGCCAGAACGTCGGCTCGCGCCTGTACCTCATGGAGGGCGAGGACACCTACAAGATGTTCTCCCTGAAGAACAGGGAGATCGCCTTCGAAGTGGACGTCAACAGCCTGCCGTGCGGCCTCAACGCCGCCCTCTACCTGGTGGAGATGCCCGCCGACGGCGGCAAGAGCAGCGGCAACACCGCCGGGGCGAAGTTCGGCACGGGCTACTGTGACGCCCAGTGCCCCCACGACCTCAAGTTCATCGACGGCGAGGCCAACATCAAGGGCTGGAAGGGCGCCATCGGAGGGGCCTACGGCGCCTGCTGCGCCGAGATGGACCTCTTCGAGGCGAACAAGATGGGCGGGGCCTTCACGGCCCACCCGTGCGGCATCCAGGGCGCCAAGCGGTGCGAGGGGGCCGACTGCGGCGACGCCGACTCCGGACACTACTACCAGGGAGTGTGCGACCACGATGGCTGCGACGTCAACCCCTACCGGCTGGGCAACAAGGATTTCTACGGCCCTGGCCTGAAGGTGGACCCCCAGAAACCCTTCACGGTGGTTACGCAGTTCCTCACCGTCGACGGCACGGACGACGGGGACCTCGCGGAGATCCGGCAGCACTTTGTCCAGGACGGGCAGGTGATCAAGCACCCTGGAGCACAGGGAATCGACGGCGTTGAGGGCAACTCCATCACCAACGCCTTCTGCGCCGCCTCCAAGGAGGCGTTCCACCAGTGCCGTGTCAAGAACAATCCCAACGGGGCCGCCGACCAGTTCAACAAGCACGGAGGCCTCAAGTCCATGGGGGCCGCCCTCGACCGCGGCATGGTGCTGGTCCTCTCGCTGTGGGACGACCCGACCAGCGGGATGCGTTGGCTGGACTCTGCGTCGCCCGGCGACCTCGACGAGACCGTGCCAGGCGTTGTCCGGGGCCCTTGTCCCCGCCAGGCCGGCAAGGCCGTGAGGACTGAGGCGGGCGACGCGTTCGTCAAGTACTCGAACATCAAGTACGGGCACATCGGCGCCACCACCGAGGGCGTGCAGTCCGAGGAGCTCTCGCCGCTGGCCACCGCGCCGCTGCCGGTGACCCCGCACGCTTCCGCGGAGGTGTCCACGGACGGCATGACTGGCGTCGTGAAGAACGTGACCGCCGCCTTCGACACCACGGCGGCCAACGCCGACCCCACCACGGGCGCGACTACTGTGGTGGACAAGACTGCTACTGTGGGCGCCACCACGGGCGTCCAGGCTACAGCAGGCGCGGGCACCGTGGTGGACAGCGCCGCTGGCGTGGGCGCCACCACGGGCGTCGTGGCTACACCAGGCGCCGCCGTCGGCACCGCGGCGGCCACCGCGGCCTCGGGCGACATGTACGACTGCACCGAGGGGGTCGCCACTTGGCTGAGGGACTGGCCCGCCGAGAAGAAGAACTGGTGCTGCACGACCAAGCACTTTCCGCCCGGCTGCACGGCCGCCCCCGCCGCGCGCCTGTCGGACGCGTCGCTGCCCGCGCTCGCCCGCGCGCCCGGGGCAGGCCTCCTCGCTGCCAGTCTCGCTGCCGCGGCCGCGGCCGCCGCCGGGGCGACGGCCTGGCGCCGGGCGAGGCAGCGCCGCGCGGGCGGCTCCGGGGCGGAGATCCCGCTCACGGAGATGGAGGAGGAGCCGCTGGTGGCCTGAGCGGCCGGGCGCAGCCGAAGACCACCAGCCTTAACACAACACCAGCCCCTGGGCGAGCAGCAGCACGTCGCAGGGGAGGCCTCCTGAATTGAAGCACACGCGTTTGCCGTGCCTCTGCCGAGGCCGTGCCGCGTCCTTTTTTTTTCCTTGCAGTTCCCCGCAGACCTCGCAAGACCCGTGGGCCGCGCTGCGCGGGAGGGAGCCGCTGTGAATAAAGTGGAACGCGGCGTGTAGCTGCGTCTCGCGTCGGCATTCTTCATGTTGCTGGGCCTGCTTAGCCTGGAGGGTTTCAATGCCTAGGGGCTGAGAGCAGTACCCCTCTCAAGTTTTTGTTGTTCGGCTATCGCAGGCCTGCTCTGACACGGCAGTGGACAAAGATATCAGTGGTCCCTGCGGCCAGGCCTAACACTGCTCGCTGTGTGTACTAGGATGCAGTCAGGCGCTCAGACCATGTTGATAGGGAGCGCTCGAAACCGGCGGCTGCGCTTGACAGTGGGCGCGCGCGCGGGTTGCGAGAGCCTCCGCGGAAGGACCCCGCGCTGCAAAAAAAATCATCCTCCTCCTCCTCCTCCTTATCATCAGCAGCGGCATCATCATCAGCATTGTCACCGTCATCATCATTATCATCATCATCATCAGCAGCAGCAGCGGCAGCAGCAGCGGCAGCAGCAGCAGCGTTAATATTAGCATCATCGTCATCATCATCATCAAAATCATCATCATCATCATCATCATCATCATCATCATCATCATCATCATCATCAAAATCATCATCATCATCATCAACATCATCAGCATCAGCATCATCATCATCGTCCATTCCTTTCCCTTGAAATTCATTCCTGCCTGCCGCACCCAGAGGCCAGTCGGAAGGGCGGGCTTGTCGTTTCGCCTAAGACTTCCATATTGTTTATGGCCTTGCAGCTTAAAATTGCCAAAAGTTTCATAGATGGAAGGCGGGTCGTTTCCAGAATGGGTCCCTCGCCTTAGCGCCGCGCACAATTCATCGTCAAAAGTTGTAAGCGTTTCACAGGTGGAGGGCAGGTTGTTTTGAAAATGTGGTTCTCGCCCTATCGCCGCGCACATTCGTTGAAACAAGTTGCAACAACTTCCCGGATGGGGGGCGGGCAGTTTTCAAAATGTGGTTCCCGTCATAGCGCCGCCTACATTCGATTTAAGATTGTGCAACAGCTTGACGGATGGAGAGCGGTTCCTTTTTCAAAATGTGGTTCTCGCTCTAGCGCCGCGCACATTGGTTTAGAACATGCAGTAGGTTCAGGGATTCCCATAGTTAACCTACCAGAAATGTTGTTTTGTGGCGACTCAGGAATCCCAAGGAGCCACAGTTACTTTGATTCATGGGCTTACGCCACACCGCCGACCCCTTGGGATATCTGGGAAAGCCTTGGGCGGGGGGGGTTCGTGCAGCATTAACAACCTGGCTCTCGCTATCTCGCGCGGGGCCTTTTTCTTGTGCACTGCCTCCCCATGTCGCCGCGCCAGATTGCCGCCGCTTGCTCCGGCCTCGCATCAGGTCCCCCCTCAGCAACTTTGTACGTTTGTATGTACTAATGATATTATATATATATATATATATACATAAACATATGTGTATATATACGGAACATGCAATCGTATATTGTACACACACGCGTACATAACATGGGCAGGCATGCGTGCACAGATGTTCCCGGGTCTTGGTTGCATGACCAGCCAATGTGTGGTTCGCTCTCCTGCATGCAGAACGTGACGTCTATCGCAAAGGACAACGGGCTGGAGTGTGGACGGTGTGCAGAGGAAAGAAAGCGTCGATGTCTCGTAGCCACCAGTGCCGCACACGAACGGTTCGCACTTCCACAATTCGTCGAAGCCACTGCCATATATCCGAATCAGGATGTGAAGTGCAAGGTAGCGCGGCAGCGGGCCGTCGACTGGGCTGCGTGCCAGAAGAAACAGACTTCGTGGGCTTATGCGCGGGATGAGGCAACGCACGCGACGTACCAGGAAAGGCCGTACACCTCAGCAGACAAAGTGCGGTGGCTCGGATACCACGACAAGGCCTGTGCAGACATGCCAGGGTGGTTACCGCTTGCCGTGGGCATGCCAGTTGTACTGACGGACCATTTTGACCGATCAGAGAAGCAATTGCTACGAGGGTGTCGCGCGACGATACATTCATGGGTGGTAGATGAAGAAGAAGAAGACGTGCAGGACGTGTCGTCGAGAGTCCTGCGTAAGATGCCAAGGCAAATCGTGTTGGACACTCACACCGAGAAGTGGACGCTGACAGGGATGCCGGGACCAGGACTGTATCCCATAGTCCCTCGCGCTCGGACGTGGCATCTGGACTCGTATCGAAAGAAGCCTTTGTTGGGGGTGCGACGAAGAGAGTTTATAATTTCGCCTGGGTTGGCGTGCGCGGCGCACGCAGCGCACGGGCAAACGCTTGACGCGGCATTAGCAGACTTGGAGGAAGGCAGAAACGTGAGCTGGATGTCGAGCTACGCGGCCATAACGCGCGTGAAGACTCGGCAGGGCCTGCTCATATATCGGCCATTTTCGAGACAGCCGCACACAGAAGGAGAATTGGAAGGCACGAGATTGTTGTTACAGAAGTTGCGGGGGGAAGCGTTGCCGTGGCCCGACATCGAAGAGAGGTTGACGCCGCGCAAAACATGCGGGAAATGTCGGAAAGTGAAGGAAAAGGTTGAATTCAGCAGGAATTAGTTCGGCGCGAAATCGGGCCCGAGCTTCTGCTGCGAGCGCACGGAGACGTTGAAGGGGGCAGGGGAACAGTGGTGCACGACTTGTGACCAATGGGCCGAGATGGTCTCCAGAGCGGCCGGGGCCGAGTCCGAAAGGATCAGAGCGTTCGTGCGGACAAGCAAATGCGACAGGTGCGCAGGGCCACAAGCCCAGAGGAAGTCGCGGAAAGATCCCCAGGGGCGGCAGCAGAAAGTACGAGACAAATTCAAGAGCCGTTGCGCTGAATGCTGTGAATTCCTGAAGGCGGAGGCAGAAATTACGGCGAACCAGTGCGCTACGAAGGGCGCAGGGGAGAAGCTCTGCAAGAAGTGCGCAGGGAGGAGGAAAGGCGGATGGAACAAGTGGAGCCAATCGCAGATGAAAACGGAGTGGATGAATGCAACGAACACTGCTCGACAAAGCGCGCGCCAGGAACAGCCGCTGAGGCGTTCGGAGTGCCCAAGAGGCCCAAGAGACACAGACGGAAGAGCGGGGGAATTCACGGACGCGGCGCATCTGACTTCAGAACAAATCAACCACTATTATAAAACGGGCGCAGCCCATGGGCCAGTGAAATGCCGCGACTGCGACGCGCATCACAAGCGATCGCGGGCGTTCAGGTGCTCCGCGCGCCCGAAGGAAACAGATGGGAAAGAGCGAGAATTCGCGGGCAGGACGCATCTGACTGATACGCAAGCGAAGCATGTCTTCGCGAAGGGTTCGGACCATCGCCCAGTCATGTGCCGCGCGTGCCAGGAAGAACGCAATCAGCCGCGAGTGATCACGCGCCCCGCGCGCCCGAAAGAAGCAGATGGAAAAGAGCGAGAATTCACGGACAGGGCGCATCTGACTGATACGCACGCGAAGCACTTCTTCGCGACGGGCTCGAACCATCGCCGAGTCATGCGCCGCGCGTGCCAGGAAGAACGCAATCAGCCGCGAGTGTTCACGCGCCCCGCGTGCCCGAAAGAAGCAGATGGGAAAGAGCGAGAATTCGCGGGCAGGGCGCATCTGACAGATAAGCAGGTGGAGCACTTCTTCGCGATGGGCTCGGAGCATCGCTCGGTGGCGCGCCGAGCGTGCCACGGGCAAAGGCAGGTGGCGAAGAAGTTGGAATGTTCCGCGTGTCCCCTGAAGAAGGACGGATCAAAGCCTACGTTCACTGACGGCGGCCATCTGTCGATAGCCCAGAAGACGAATTATTTCCACCGAGGCACTCTGGTGGTTTGCGCCAAGTGCTATAAGGCGGGACGGGTGCCGCGGAGAGACCCGCCGAAACGGCCTGCGGAGGCAAGTGACGAGCACGGCGGGAAGCAACGCAAGTTGCGAGGAGTCTAACCGCGAGTCGCGCGCGCGTCGTCTTCGGGGCTCTCTTGGGCCGTCCTCGGCCTCTCTTGACCCGTCTTGGCGCCCTCCTGGCCTGTCGCGGGGCCCTCGTGGAGGCTTCTTGGACCGTCTTGGCGCGGTCTTGGGAGGCTCTCGGGCCGCCCCGGAGCAGGGGGCGCCCCAAAGGCGCGCGTGCGAACAAATATACGTTTTAAGAAGAGAACGGGCGATTTTATACAGCTAGAGGCCCTCCAGGGGCGCATCGTGAAAGCCTCTTGGGGCGTCTTGGGGGCCTCTTCAGCCGTCTGGGGGCCGTCGTCAGCGTTTTGGATCGCTCTTGGACCGTCGACGACCATGTGGAGCTCTCGTCGAGGCCGCTCGGAGCGCTCTCGGAGCCGTTTTCGGAGCCCTTTTGGGCCGTCTTGGGCGTGCGTTGGCCCGTCTTGGGGCCTTCGAGGGCTCTGTGGGAACCCTCTTGGAGGCGTCTTGGGCCGTCTGGGGGCGCGCTTGGGTGGCTCTGGGGCCGTCCAGGAGCGGGGGGCACCCCAAAAGGCGCACGTGTGAAAAATATACGTTGGACTAGGGAACGAGGGATTTTGTGCGTCTAGAGGCCCTCTTGGGGCGCATCGTGGATGCCTCTTGGGGCGTCTTGGGGGCCTCTTCAGCCGTTTGGAGGCCGTCGTCAGCGTTCTGGATCGCCCTTAGACCGTCGAGGACCATGCGGAGCTCTCTTCGAGGCCACTCGGACCGCTCCTGGTGCGCTCTCGGGGCCGTTTTCGGAGCCCTTCTGGGCCGTCTTGGACGTGGGCCCTCGAGGGCTATGTAGGAACCCTCTTGGAGGCGTCTTGGACCGTCTGGGAGCGGGTTTGGGTGGCTCTGGGGCCGTCCAGGAGCGGGGGGCACCCCCAAAGGCGCACGTGTGAAACAATATACGTTTTGCGAAGGAAACTGTTTTTTTTTGCGTCTGGAGGGCCTCTTGGGGGGAATATTGGATGCCTGTGGGGGCGTCTGGGGAGGCCTCGTGAGCCGTCGGGAGGTCGTCGTCGATGTTTCTGATCGCTCTTGGACCGTCTGGGACCATGTGGAGCTTCGTGGAGGCAACTTGGAGCGCTTCTGGAACGCTCTTGGGGCCGTTTTCGGAGCCCTCTTGGGCCGTCTTGGACGCCTGTTGGTCCATCTTGGGCCCTCTAGGGGTTTGTGGAGGACCCTCTGCGAGGCTTCTGGGCCGTCTGGGAGCTGGTTTGGGAGCCTCTTGGGCCGTCGGGGAGCATCGGAAAGATCCAAAGCTGAATCATTTCAAAATGTACATCTCACGAAGGGAATGGCCAAATTTTTGCGTCTAGGGACCCTTGTGGAACGCATCTCGGAAGCCCTCGGGGGGGCTCGTGGGGACCTCTTTTGCCGTCTTCGGGCCAACTTGGACGTCTTGGAGCGCTCGTGGGGCGTCCCAAACCCATTTCGAGGCCACCAGACGCGTCCCTACACGATTTTCACGCGTTTTTCCACGATTTTCGGGAGCGGATGAGATCTCCGGGGGGTTCCAGGCCGCCCGGGGCCGTCCAGGGCCGTCCGGCCGGACCCCCCCACCCCCCTCCAAATGGACCGGACCAGGCTCCCGGGGGAGGGGTTTGGGGAGGGGGAACATCTCACACGCCGATGAACCCCAAGGGGTCGGCGGATTCGCGGTGTTGAAGTCCCAGGAATGGCGCTCTGGCACGGTACCGGATCGTCAAGACGCAGCAGTCGGATTGATTCGTGGCGTTGAAGTTCCGAGAATGGCGTTTTGGCAAGTTCCAGGATCTTCAAAGGGTTGTCTCCCAACGGGGCACTACTGTCAGTCGATGTGAACTTGTACGGGCCTAGGAGATGGGAGCGACGGTGTGTTCCAACAAGGTTGATGAGTCTTGGGACTAGATTCGTCCTCTTCCTCCTCATCCTCCACACCATCAGCAACCCCATCTCAGCATCATCATCCCCATCATCAACAACAGCATCACCATCACCACCACCACCATCATCATCATCATCATCATCATCATCATCATCATCATCATCATCGTAATCGTACTAGCAATAATCATATAGTAACAGTAATACTTTTGATAATAATACTAATCAGCATCATCATCATCCTCATATCATTGTCATCATCGTTATCATCATCATTATCATCAGCATGGTCATCATGACCATCATCCCCATACTCATCCTCATCGCCCCCCCACCATCATCATCGTCATCATTATCAGCACCAGCATCATCAGCAGCATCATCATTGTCATCATCTTCATCATCTTCAAATGTTCACCATCACCAGCATCACCGGCATCGTCATCGGCATCCTAAGCATCGTCATCATTGTTATTATCATCCTCGGTATCTGCAACATCAGAATCATCATCATAATCATCATCATCGTCATCCTCACCATCAGCATCGTCATCACCGCCATTAAGATAGATCATCATCATCATCAGCATCATCATCAGTATCAGCATCAGCGTCATCAACAACAGCAGCCAAATCACCAGAATCCTCATCAGCATCATGATGATGGTCATCATCATCATCGTCGTCATCATCATCACCACCACCATCATACTCATCCTTGCCATCCTCCTTGTCGTCACCGTCATAATCAGTATCGTCGTTGCTGTTCTCCGTCTCCCTTTCCTGCTTCTCTTCCTTATCTTCCAAAAATTAGTCATCATCCGCATAAAGTGCTGCGTCATCGCCACCATCAGCAGCACAATCACCATCAATAATCATATCATCATCAGCAGCATCATCATCGTCATTATCATCGAGATCCTCGTCCCCCTCCTCCTCCTCCTCCTCCTCGTCAGCATCGCCAACCTCCTCGTCGTTGTGCTCCTCCTCTTCCTCTTCCTCCTCCTGCTCAAGACCATCATTATCCTCATGAGCATCACCGTAATCGTCTATCACAATCACCATCACCCTCAGTCAGCATCAACCAGGACATCGTCATCGTCATCGTCATCGTCATCGTCATCATCACAAACACCACCACGATCCTTATCATCATCATCATCATCATCATCATCATCATCATCATCATCATCATCAGCAGCAGCAGCAGCAGCAGCAGCAGCATCAGCATCATCAGCAACAGCATCAGCATCAGCATCATCGTCAGCATCATCGTCATCGTCATCGTCATCGTCATCGTCACCGTCCTGCTCCACCTCCTCCTCCTCCCCCTCCTCCCCCTCCTCCTCATCCCTCCCCCCCAGCGTCAGGACCGCTTCTTCCTTGGCGGGGCCTCGGGCAGCGCCTCCGTCGTCAAGGGCTTCGGGCACCACGGCGCCGGCCCGGCGGGCCTCTGCAGGCCCGCGGGCGGAGACGGAGCGCAGGCGGAGTCCGGCGGGCGCCTGGCGGACGCGCTCGGCGGTGGGCTCGGAGCGCCTCCCAGTCGCGCGCGGGGGGGGAGGAGGACGAGGAGGGGTGGAGTTTCAGTCGGGCCCGTCCCTCTACAGGAGGGATATTCAAAAATCGTCCAAGAATAGTCTGGGGACGATGTGTTCAGCATGTTTGAGCATGTTTTGCAAATTTTCTCGGTATGTTTAAACTTCTCGTCCAAAATGCCCCTGTAGGAGGACATGCCCGACCTACGGTTGAGTACTTTCCTTGAGCGGAGCTCATGCGTCCGCCCCTGTGGCCAGCTCGGAGGCACTTCGGTTGCGCTGCGAGCGTTGAAGGAGAAGGAGGGGGAGATGGGGGACAGGGAGGGGGGGGAGGAGGAGGCGATGGAGGACGAGGAGGGGGAGACGGCGGAGGAGGGAAGGGTGGGGGAAGGGAAGAGGAGGAGGGAGAGGGGGTGGAGGGCAAGCTAGGTGCGCTCGCGCCGTATCTGACATCCGAGCACCCCCTCCTGTCCCCTTCCATTGCCCTGACTTGTTTTCTATCCGCGGACGCGTGTCGTAGCCGACCTCTGGAAGTCCACAAGAAAACCCCATCGAGTTATGCGCTGACTTGTGGGACTTGCGGGACCTCTGTGCCATGTGGGGGCTGTGAGACCTGCGACACCTGTGGGACCTGTGGGAAAAGTGGGACCTGTGAGACCTGCGACACCTGTGGGACCCGTGGCACCGGCGGGACTTGCGGGACTAAGGGGAGCCCTGTTGGACCTGTCATACATGTGACACTTTTGGGACCTGCAGAACCTGTCGGACCTGTGGGACCACTGGGGCATGGGAGACCTGCGACACTTTTGGGACCTGTGGAACCTGTCAGACTGGTGGCACCTCTGCGGCATGTAAAACAACCTGTGACACTTGTGGGTCCTGTGGGACCTCTGGGAGCTGTGGGGCCCGCGAGACCTGTGGCATCCAGGAAAACAAAAACCCACGCTTGGGCGGGAGCGCAATTCTGAACGGCGGGAGCGCAGCGCCGATCCGAAAATGAGGCCCACGCTGCAGCGAGAGCACCAGTTTCGAAAAACTGTAAACAATCGGATTGCAAGAACAACCATATGAAAGGCCAGTTCGCGCAAATCCTATATGTGAAGAACGCGGATGGGAGGGGCGACAGCTCTCAGGACATATTCGGGGGAGGGGGGAGAGTAGCATTCAGATTACCCAAACAGTGATGCACTTAGGGGTTTACTGGGCCTGTCTGTCGGTCTGGCGGCTATGTGGCCGCCGTCGCCGCCCCGTCGCCGCCTCGTCGCCGGCCGTCGTCTGGGCCTGTTTGTCGGTCTGGCGGCTATGTGATCGCCGTCGCCGCCTGTTCGCCGCCTTCGGTTGCGCAACATAGATTGCATCGCACAGAATGCACGGCAAAGACTGCATCGCATATACTGCACCACATAGATTGCACCACATAGCTTGCACAGCATATATTGCACCGTGCATATTGCACCACATGGACTGCACAACATGTCTTTGCACCATCTAGAGCGCACAGCAAAGTTTGCACCACATCGAGTGCACAACATACATTGCACCACATAGATCACACCACTTAAACTGGACCGCATAGTTTGCAGAACATATGTTGCATCACATTGGGTGTACAACATAGACTGCACCGCATAGGCTGCACCACATAGAACGCACGACATCGAGTGTACCACATAGATTGCACCACCTTGACTGCAGCATATAGCTTGCTCAACATATAGTACACCACATAGTGTACACAACATAGAGTGCACCACATAGACTGCACCACATATATTGCATTATATAGATTGTACAACCGAGATTGCACCACATACATTGCAAAACACAGATTGCTAGAAACACCTTGTTTGGGGGCATACGCTGGCGAGCATTGTCTAATTTTGGCGGAGGGGGAGTCGGAGGAGGAGGAGGAGGGGCCTCCTCCTTCTGCTCTGCCTCCTTCTCGAACTCCTCTTCATCATCCTCGTCAGCATCATCATCAGCATCGTCATCGTGCGCCCCTGGTAGTTCTCCGATTCGCCCTGCAGAACTTCACCAAGCTCAGGCAGATCCGCACCATGATTGCGTTCAGTTGCTTGCCCGTGTTCGTCACCAAGCTCATCATCACGAACTTCACGTACCAGTTGCGGACCCACGCGCTCGCCTTCTGGTTCGTCTTTGCTGGTGCGCTGCCCTTCGTCGCGAACTCCATGACCAGGCGCAGTGGGACGTCACGGACGTCACAGCCAACGGCAAGCCGCACACACACACACACACACACACACACACACACACACACACACACACACGCGGGGTGCACATCTTCTGCAATTGCCACACCAACGAGTTCATGGTCGTCAATTTCGCGCCGTGCTGAGTGGACTTGAGCTGCAACTGCTGTTGTTGCTGCTGACGCCCGCACTGTTACGAATTGACATCCTCGTAGCCATCATCATCAGAAGCAGCAGCGGCATCATCATCGTCATCACCATCGCCAGCATCATCATCAGCATCATCAGCATCATCATCATCATCATCATCATCATCATCATCGTCATCGTCATCATCATCAGCATCAGCATCAGCATCAGCAGCGTCATCATCCCTCCCCCCGTCCTCCGTTCCCTCCTCCTCCTCCTCACCCCTCCTCACCCTCCCTCCCAACCTCCTCGTGCGTCTCGTCCTCCTCCCCCTTCCCCCTCCCTGTCCGCCTCGTCCTCCTCCTCCGCCTCTTCCTCCTCCTCCTCCTCCTCGCATCATCATCCCTTCTCCTCCCTCTCCTTCGCTTCCTCCTTCTCCTCTGCTTACGCAGCGCGTCCCAGAGGCAACGGCGGAGCCAGTAGAGGCGGGGAAAGCAGAGAGCAAACAGACTCGCCAGTATACCTTGCACTCGAGGACACCACGCATCGGAGGGAGAGGATGGGCGCCGCTGCCACCAGGCCGAACATTCAGTCCATGCCCTTTCCATCGACCGTGACAAGAAGGTGTCGCATGGGGCCCAGGCGGTTGAGATGTCATGAGGCACGGCCGACAGGATGGACCCCCTCGCATCCCTCGCCAGCGCTGGATGCCATGCTGGAGAAAGGGCTTCAGCGACTGGGCGGCACAGCGTGGGCCCAACGGGCCCCAACGGGGACAAGGCGGCGCGCAAACGGCGCGCCACCCTCAGTACCCCGCGTGTTTCTTCTTCTCGGCGAACTCCTTGGCCAGGGACGGCGTCCCAGGCTGCAGTCCTTTCTTGATCCTCGCGAGCTTCTGCTTGCCCAGCTGCTTCGGCACCTCGCTGCACATAGCTGCGAGGCTCCTCATCCCCTCGCGCCATATACACCCACATAGCGTGCAGTAGTGCAGCTGCAGGGCCTTGTCGTACACGATGTTGTGTGACTCATGCGCCTCTTGGTTGCTGATCCGCGGGCGGCTGACGAGCGAGCCATGCGCCGCGGCCGCCTTCACCATGGCGTGGCACTCTCCCGCCAGCCACTCGCCCGCTGCGGCCGCGAGCGTGACCGACCCACAGCGCAGGCACCTGTGGTGTTTCCCCTCGAACTTGATGATGTGCTTGATCCCTGCCAGCAGCATGTCACGCCTCCGCTTCGCTACGTGGGCCTGCTGGATCTTCACGCTCGGCGCCTGCGACGGCTCCACCTCGATGGACGCCATCAGCGCCCAAAACGCGCGGTCCCTGATCAGCTTCGCCACGCCCTCCGCGAAGCCGACGGAGCGTGCCTGCGCCCTCGGGACCTGGACCTGCTCGATGATGCCGTCCACGAAGCAGTCCGCAATCGAGTTGCCCAGCCAGCCGATCGGCTTGACGCCCCCCTTCCAGCGCCTCCTGCGCCTTCAGATGGCTCCCCACCTTCACGATGCTCAGCTGCCCGCCCTCTATGCTCCGCTGGACCGCCATCCACAGGTCCACGAGCGTCTGCGGGATCTTGCCCTTCGCCAGCTTCTGCACGCCGCGCACCACGTACGACGAGTCCGCTGTGCACCTCACTCTGCTATATCCTTCGCTCGCCGCGTGCACGCCCTTCAGCGCCATGAGCTCGCCGAAGTTGACACCCGGACGCCATCCAGCTAAGGCGCCTCTGCCATTCTTGCCACCACCTTGGCTTCGCACGCGTCGAAAGAGTTGAACACCACCCATCCCCACGCGATCCTTCGGGACCGCGGGTCTGCCGCGTACTCGCCTCCCGACGCGCCGCCAGCTGCAATGAACCACTCGTCCGTCGCCAGGTGCTCCACGGTGCCGACCCTCTCGTACAGCTCCTCGCCCGGCTCTGGCGGCGGCCTGACTTGCGTCCAGTTCTTTGGCAGGATGCCCCTGAGCCAGAGGCACGGCTGGTTCTCCACCTCGGTCATCGCTCTTTCGATCAGGTGGGCTGACCTCTCGCAGCCCTCAATCGTATCGTTGCACTTGCACTCCCACATGCGGTGCTTCCACGTATCTGGGGCCTCGCCGCACCTCGGGCACATGACGTCGTCGATCTCGATGCCCAGGTCCGCGACTCTCTGCCAGGACCAGGCGCCTCCCGTCACCATGGCGATGTACGCGCCCACCTTGTCGCCCTCACCCTTCTTGCGCAAGCGCCCCAGCTGCTTGCGCGCCGACCGAACGTCAGCACCATCGGCGAGTCCACCTCCTGCATAGTGCTGCGCTGCACTGGTCCACTGCTTCTTCTCGATGGTGTCCTTGATCGCCGCCATTAGGGCGCTGGCGTCCACCTCCTCGTCGAGGGCGCTCGGGTCGCTGCTGCCGAACTCCTCGCCGTCGTCGGAAACCCAGTGCCAAGGGCCCCAGGGCTGCCACCCCAGGTCCATCAGCGCGTTCACCATGGCCCTCGTGACGCCCGTGACTCCACGCCGCCTCTGCTGCGCCGATTTGCTCTGCATGCTGCCGACGATCCTCGGCCAAATGATGTTGGCCTTCTGCCTGCGCCTCGGGTCGCTGACGATGTGCATCCACGAGTCCAGCAGCGCGAAAGTCGCACCGAAAGCTGGTTCGCCGACGCCGAGCTCCAGCTGCATCAGCGTCGCGAGGCACCGACCCCGAAGCCGCGGGGCGACCACTGAGGCCAACCGTCGCCTCCACTTCGTCACCGCGCTGGGCGCCATCCCAAACACCTTGCACGAGTCGCTCAAGGTAGCGACCCGCGCAGCACAACTTGCCTGGCTCCTCCTCGGGCTCTGAGGCCACTGCGCGCCATCTTCAGCGCTTTGGCCACCTGGCGGCCCGCGCGGGCGGTACGCTTCGCGTGCTTGCCCTTGCCCCCACCGATGCTGTGGCCCCTGCCGATGCCCAAGTCTGGGGCCTGACCCCTCACCTTCACCATGATGTTGCGCGCCCGAAGCTCCAGCGCGATCTCCTTCACCACCTCCATGTCATTGCCGATGACGGCCGACTTGCTGGACAGCTTGAGCGCAGCTTGTCGCACTCCCGCAGCCAAGTTGGCGCCTGCTGCTACGAGCTGCCTCACGACCTCGCGACGGGAGCCCTCCATCCTCGTCGTGACGTCGTCGACCCACGCCCGCACGAACACCGTATGGCATTTGTTGCTGATCCTCTCCAGCGTGGCGCAAAGCGCCACCCTACCGAAGTCGATGCCTCGGCGCGCTCCTGCACATATCGAGCGCTATGGGGAGATCGGAGTCGCGTAGGCCGACCTCTCCCTGACTAGCCGCACGCTCAGGTGGCTCAGCATCTCCGGGTGCAAAGCGCGAGCTGGAAGCCCGAGCCTGAGCCCCTCCTCCAGGACGAGGAGCGGCTCCAGCGTGTCGTAGAATTCCGCTAGGTCCCACAGCGCTGTCGCCGCGTACACCTTCATGGGCGTCCACTCCAGCACCTCGTCGGCGAAGGAGCGCACCGGCGCCTCCTTCAGCGCGCTGTTGCCTGCCACCGCGGCGCCCCACTTGCCCGCCACGTGCTGCACCCGCTCGCTGGTGCAGTCGCTCCTGATCTTGGACCAGATCTTCATCACTTCCGAGAGCAACCCTATCGCTCGATCGCCTCCAACGTCCTTCCGAGGTAGGCTCACCAGCGTGGCCATAAGCTGCCATGGCCACGCCCACGCGCGCTCGATGCTGACCAAAATGCTCTGCAACTCCTTCCTCGCGCTCGGGGGCAGCCACTTATGCGCCAACGCCCCCATCTGCTCGATGCCCTTCGCCTTGCTCTTTGCCGTGCTGTCGATCGCGTGGTTGAGTCCCTCGATGGTGATAGGGGGCCCACTCCTCCTCGATCGCCGCCGTCCTGCTGTTCTCGAGCCTCGCCAGGGTAGTGGCTCTGCTGTGACAGCTGGCCCACTTCTGCTTCCACTGAGCTCCCTTCGCGTCCATGTGCTCCACCATGTTGGCGGCCGTGGGGTTGCCGCTCCTGACCTCGTTGCCGCACCTCGGCATGTCACGAGCGCGACGGTGTAACGTGCCGCCGCCCATCGTCTCCTGCTCCTTCGCCCAGTTGGTGTAAGCAATCAGCGCCTCGTTCACCTCGGCGCGCTTCCACTTCCTCGCTGTTGCCAAGGCTGCGACGCCGAGGGCCTGTAGTTGGCCTTTGCTCATGTTGCGGACCCCGACCAGGACCTCGCGCCACTTCCTCTTTTGCTTGCCCGTCATCTTGATGATGCCGCCGTTGGGGATGGCGGTGGCCATGGCCTGAGTTCGCTCCTTCAGGTGCTGGCCACGCTGCCCTTGCCCTTCGCATCGCTGCAGCTCCACCAAGTATGATGGCATGGTACCCCAGCAAGAGATCGAGCCGTCCATCTCGTGCGACACTGCTTCCTTCCTGCGGACAGCCTTCATGGAGAAGCAAACGGCCTCACCACGTCCGCTGTACATGCGCCTCTCGCTGGGCGCAATCTTCAGCATGCTCAGGTAGAACTGCACCGTCGCGTGGACCACGACGACCCCGCGCACTCCCCAAATGATTCATAAGGCCCTCGCAACGGTGGGCCCAGCTGCCCTGGGCGTGCAAAGCCTCGGCAGCCATCCCCCGTGGCAGGGGCAGCGTTTGGGGGGATCGGCTCAGGGCAAGGGAGGGGCGCATCGGCCCCAGAGGAGGGAAAGTTATTGGTTGTCCCCCTCTCAGTGGGCATCATGGGAGGCCCTCCTCGGCACGGCTGGAGTCGCCTCGACACTCTGGTCAGAGCGCCCAGGGGAGGGCCGGAGAGCAGCGGCATCGGTACCTGTTGGTCCCCCCACGGCCAGCACGCAGGGAGCACGCGAGCTCGTGCCTCCCGCCGCATCGCCCACTCATCGCCGAGGGGGCCCGGTAATCAGCACCCTCCGCACGTGAGCGTGCCAATTCGCCACCAGGGGCACATCGCCAGTCTATCGGCGATGCCTCGCCGATGCCAGCTCGATGCCCCGCCCGCCCTCCCCGAGCCGGGCCTCCCCGGAGCAGCGTTCCCCCCGACTACGGCGGGGAGGCGCACCGACAGGAGACGCGTCGGCTTCGTAGCAGGAGGCCCCACACAGCAGGCCGTGCACTGCGGCGGTGCCGAGGGACTGGACACCCACGCGCCTCAAGCCGTCGCCAGTCCGAGCCTGAGGCATCTCGCGGGGCCCTGGAAGTCTTGGAGGCCCCAGGGGGCCCAGGGCGGAGGGGGCGGGGAGGACTGGAGTCCTCGGAGCCCCAGGAAAGCAAACGGGCACGGCTCCAAGTGTCGAGGGTCCTCCTCCTCCTCCTCCTCCTCCTCCTCCTCCGCCTCCTCCTCCTCCTCCTCCACCTCCTCCTCCTCCTCCGCCTGGTTGGTCCCATGTGCGGAATGCCTTTTACCCTTGAGCCAGCAGCGCGGCAGCTCTCACTCCGCACGACGCCCTGCCGTGCTGGGGCGACGAGGCGGGGATGGCGCCGCGGAGGGGGCGCGCGCGACAGGTGAGGAGACGGGGAAAGAGAAGCGGGAAACCTGACGCACATGGCACCTCAGTCCGCAAGCTGATCAGACCTACTTACTGCATACAAGGATTCATCCAGCAAAGTGCAAATACAGAATACAAAAAAACGTGCAGTGGCCAGCCCAAACAAATCAGGTGTAAACCGTTGACGTGTGTAGTGTACTTAGGCGCTCCTGGGTACAGGGCGCGCCCCGATGGGGCAGCGGCCCTCAGAGGTAGAAGGTGGTGCGCCGGTGGCCTTCGAAGTTGTTCCTGGGGGTGCTCCGCTCGACTTCGGCGTCGTCGTTTTCAGAGCGGCCCGCAAGGCTCGCGTGTTCTCGTTGCGGTTGTGCTGCTTCCGGTCCCTCTGCTTATCGGAAGGCGTCGGGCGTTGGAAAAAACTCTTGTGCAGACGAGGTAACTCCTCCTTTGGCTGAGTAGCCGCTCCCTGCAAGAGGTCCTCGGTCAAGTCTGGCACGTCTTTCACGAGGTAGTCACGGCGTAGGGTGTCCAACCCAAGCCCTGTTTCCGAAACGAGCGTGAAAGGACCTTCGACCTTGCAGCAGACCTCGTGCACAAGATCACCGTACCGGGCGTCTTGGGAAACCTGCACCTCGAAGCTGTCCCCGGAGAGCGGATTGAGACACTGCGCGATGAAATAATCATCATCCGAGCCGTCGATTGTAATTTGTATGCTTTTCGATGGGGTACGGTGCTCCGATGCAGTAGCGGGCGTTGTCGTAGGAAACGGTCGTGGATCGTGTTTGGCTCGTTTCCGTGCATGGTCATGTCTGGCGGCGACCCAAATCGGCACTCCTGCGATCACGTCGGCCCGGAAGCGGACAGATCCAGCCGGCCGTGACACAGCAGCGCAGCTGTCCTTGTTCAGCTTCTTGGGCAGGGCGTCCGCCCGAAGCTGTTCGCTGAGGCGGTCAGCTTTCCACAACTGCTGAGCCCGGAGGTCCTGCAAGATGATCTGCCGATCCCGTTGCGCCGGGCGCTCAGTGCCGCACCTGCTTGCCGTCAGAGCCCCGCGCTGTTCAGCACGACCGCGCGAGCGACGGTGGCAGCCATCCTCTGGCCAGGCTGGAGTGCCATCGGTGCTCTGGGGCGCGAGGCTGAGGAAGAATCAGGGGCTGTGGAAATCCGAAGCATTCCAATTCGAATCGAGCCGTTGGTCAACCTGCGGACGGGAGGACCCAACAAACGGCCCGTGAGGTAGAGCAGCTTGTGGTGACCAAGTGCCTTGGTGAAGACGTCGGCGATGTTCTCGGCGCCTGGAATGTGCTCAGGAAGGATGCCACACCCATGGAGAAACAACAAAGATACTTCAGCATGTTTCTTAAGATGCCCCAACTTTTGACTGCAACCCTTCCGAATTGCGAACTCCACTGCTTTGTTTTCCATGCGCCCGCGAACATCTACAGGCGTCGGCTGGGTGTACTCCACCATTGCAGCCAGGCGGATTGCATGCTTGGTTGTGGTCGCCCAGGCCAGGGATTCGCTCTCTCCCGAACTCGTGGTTTCGATGTCCTGCCGAGCCGCGCCCCAAGACAGAGGGTATTGTAACCCCTTGGGGCCAACGAGCTCGAGGTAGAACCCCGTGGTGCTGTTGGGGGAGTGGAAGTCGGCGTCTGACCAAGCGGCAAGGCTCAGGTCATCCCAAGAATCACCAGCGTTCAACATCACCAGACCGAAACCAGACGCAACCAGAAGATATTCCACAAGCTGGGCAAGCTCAGCCTCAGCCCATGGGCACCACTTATCAACGTACCTCGCAATCCGGCCAACCGACAATGACGTATCAGGCCAGGAACAACGGGCAGAATAACAATTGTCGCCCATGATCTTACGTCTGCCTGTTCCGGCCTCTGCTTGGGGGAGGTCTTCGGGTCGAGGCGGGGTTGTTTGTTGGGCAGGCGTGGTGGTCGGTCGAGCTACGCGGCCAGTAACCGCCTCCCAGTCGCGGACGATACGCATACAGTACTCGGATTGTGTGATAAACGAAGCAACTCCGCACCTACCATCTGCGAGTGTCATTGCTTTGGGGGGCTGAAGATGCAACCCAAGAACTTCTGAACAGCCTCAGGGTCCTTCGAGGCAAACATGGCACGTATGACGTTCCAGATCGAAGGTCTGTGTGTTCTTCTGCGCGTCAAGCTCGCAGTCGTCTATATAAGTCGCCATGGTGCTGCAATGCTTTGAACTACGATGCTGGCGGTGCTGCGGCGCCCCGGTTTTCTGGGACACCTCGCGCCACGAACTGGTAGGCGAGCAATCAGCGACGACAGCGAACGGATTTCGACTAGCAGCTAATGTAGAGTCGACCCATGCCTTGAGCTTCAAAGCATGCTGGAGAGCATCGCGGTCGAGGGTGTCATGCCAGCAATAGAAGACGGCGGGTTCTTCTTCCATCGGTTGCCAATTGTTCCATACCAACCACTGGGTAAAAGCTGCGATGAAGTCGGATCTGGAACGGTGGAGCCCGCACAGTGCACGCTTCAGGCGACACACCGGCATCCGGAGGGATCGGAATTCAGACTGCTGGCTGGGGGGCAAGATGTCGATGACCTCAGCGGGGATGATGATGTAGTATTCGACGTCGCCACCGAGATGAACCTGCAGGTACGCACTGAGAAGGTCAACTGTCTCGGTCTCTCTACCAATGGCGAGGCTACGAGCTTGGACGAAACGGGCACCAGTCAGATTGGACAAAGGCGCCCATAGCGAACCAGGGTTCGAACGAACGACACGCATGCGTTTATCAAACAAGATGCTTCCCATAGCTACGAAACGGGCTTTGCATTCGTGGAGTGCCTGAGGCTTCTCCAAATGCTTTTCCGATATGAGCAGCTTGCCTTCCACTATGCGCGCGTTCTCAGGCACTGAATCCAGCTCTTGTGGTGGAAGCCATACGGGATGCTGCACCATTCGGTCGAATTCCTTAGCCGCCGCCTGAGCACCGCGGCCATCAGGACGTTTGAGATACGATCTCGTGTCCATCAGCTGCGTGACATGTGCCGACTGGCGCGCTAAAACGTACATGACTTCGGCCAGGGACTCTGACAGGTGATCTCGGTAGAGAACGCACGGAGCACGTCGGTAGGCACCTCGGTGCTGCCAGCACCAATTGAGATGGCAGGCAGGCGCGGGGGATCGGCAAAGATGAGGGCTGCGATCTTCTCCACGCTGGGATCGGGGCATGGGTCGTCGACGTCAGACGCCCACGAAAGAGGGGTACTGGCTTCGGAAGAATCCCAATCGGAGGAAGACGAATCAGCGTCGACAACACCACCCTGTCCTGCCCTCGCTCGTTTACGAGCGTGGTAACGTTCGCGCCATTACCGACGCTGCTCGTCAGTCGTGCCGCTTCGACCGGCACCGCGGCTCTTCGCCGCCGGAGCTATTGCAGGCAAGCCGGATCCAGCCAGACGTGACACAGCGACACGGTTGTCCCCAGGGACCCCATGCTGGACGGCCGACGCGGGCGCAGCAGGAGCAGCAGCAGCAGGTGGTACGGCACCATCAGCGTTGGCCCAACTCCTGGGCGTGGAAGGCTCATGATGCGCTGAAATATCTCGGGGGGGCACGATTGGTCCGCCCTGGTTGCCGCCAGAATCGAACCGTACCTCGAGGGGCGCACTGGCGCGCCCAGGTGTTCGGAGCGGGAACGTGCTGTCGAAGAAGCGGACGGTCGTTGAGACGATGGGCTGCTCGACGGACCAGCGATCGCCGACGGGGAAATAGGGGCGATCTTGTGTCCTCCAGACGCGGCGAAGTCGAAGCCGACCAAAATACCTAGCTTTGCAACTGGCTGTAGCTTGTCAGAACGATGTGGTTGCGGTATGTGGTAGTAAGTTTTAATTCTCCAAGGCGGCCATTTAGAAACATCATGGTGATTCCCCTCTGGATCCTCCACTGTTTGCGGAATTTGCTTGGCATCATGTCCCGACATGGCCCAGGCGGCGCTGTTGATCAAGACGTTTGCGTGCAGAAGGGCCTCATTCCAGAGGGCTTTCGGGGCACCTGACTGGAGGAGTAAAGCGCGAACGATTTCGAACACCTCCTGTATGCGATGCTCTGCAATACCACTGGCTTGAGACCTGTACCCGCCAGTCGTAGTGCGAACCAAATCTGACTCCCTCACTCAACGCTCGCACTCACCTAAGAACTCTCCGCCAGAATCCGAATGGAAGCGCCAAAGGCAACGTTGGTCAAGTTTGCATGCGATAAGGGCGTCGCGGATCGCACGGGATTCCTTGTTCGGGAGGCCGTGTGCGAAACCATGGCATGAACTACGCAATGCGTCTACAAACCCATACGTGCTCCCATTCAGAGACACAGGCAACGGCCCAGCGAGACCTGCTGAGATCTCGCCGCCCTGAGGCGTGTCCGGCAGGCGCCGGGCGGGGCGAGCACGAAGTTTGGACTGCACGCAAATGTCGCATGATGGGTCGTGCTCTGCATGCACTTTCCGAAGGTGGTCGAGAGCGGCTGGGTTTAAAACGGGGCCTGGGGTGGAGTTAGGGGAGGAGTTGGGGAGAAACAGCATCAATTTGTGGTCGTTGTTGGTCTGAAGGTACTCTATGGCCGAGTGGGGGTTGTCCAAGATGATGGCCCTCTCCTCCCTGAGTGCGAAACCTGCGTAACTGTCGAAGAAACTAGGCAGGCTGTCTGGAGGGGGCGGCGGCACGGTTTCAGCTGGCCGTGACTCAGCGGCGCAGCTGTCACCTGCGCCGCCCAGATGAGACGATGGAAAGGTAGGGTTGCCCTTCCCACGCCCAACCGGCCGCGATGCACCGGAGCAGCTGTCAGAGAGGAGCTGGGCAGGAAATTGCTCGACCACGTCGTGTAAGATGCGCAGGTTACCATGCCTTTCCAACTTAACTGTCACCGCTCGGTGACGCGAGAGCGGCTCCATAATGACTTTGGGAATACTCCCGCCCCGAATCGGTCAACAAAATGATGGCCATCAGACTCGAGGTGGCCGTCTCGCACAGCAATCATGACGGCAGGGAGACGCCGCCGCACTTGACGTCCGCCTGCTCGGTGACGACGGTTTCACCGTTCGCGGTCTCTATTACGAGTGGTTCGGGCAACGGCCTACGGTTTAAGGCATACTTGTCATCTTTTCCACACAACACATGTCTCTCTGCTCCCGTGTCCCCTATCATAGAGAGGCCGGCGCTTGATGAGATGATCCCATGCTCGAATTAGGCGAGGTTGGCGCAACTCCGCCGCCCGAAAAATCATCTGAGGAGGCAGGGCCGGTACCGATCCGGCCATCCATCCCATCAGGTCCAACTTGGCCGGCTCCAATCCGGCTCCGTTTCCTTGAATCCAAACCGGGTTGTGGCGAGGGGGCGCCAATCACGGTAGCCCCCGGGGTGCCACCCAGGTTGTTGGGTCCAATCCAGCTTTGGTTGTAAGCGGTACCGCTGTCTCCTTTCTTACCTCCGCCCTTTCTTTTCCCTTTGCCTTCGTTCGGGCATTCATTGCCCCGGCGGCCGTACTGGCCACATTTTTGACACGTGTCTTTCGGCAATGGTTGCGCCTGCTGGTTCCAAGAACCATTGGAGGGTTTGGGGAAGCGGGTAAAGGTGGGCAAGGGGTTGCGTGCGCAAACTTGCATCTGCCGCCGCACTGACAAAAACCACTAAGATAGAACGAACACGGTATCTATTTCTCATTGTCTTTGCCTTTTCTTTTGGTGGCCTTACCTTTGGTATCCTTCCCTGTCTGGCCTGATCTGGCCAGCGCGCTAGGAGGCACAGGGGGAGGGGGAGGTGCGTCTGAGGCAAGACCAACCCATTCGCCCGCTTTCCGGTAAGCTACGTCGAAGATGGCATTCGGGGCTGGTCACGGACACCATCTCCAAAGCCACCTGGAGAGGTTTTACCTTCCCGACTAGTTTCGTGAGTGACCGTAGTGTTGTTTGCTTAGACGGTGGCGACCCTATGGCTCGCAGTCCTCGTGCTCGGATTTCCAGATGCGCAGTGCGTGCTGAAGGTGCGTTTTGTCTGTTACAGAGGTCGGGTCCGAGAACTTGTCGTTTAAGGCCGCCGCGTGGGAGGCGCTGGATGCCATAATGGCTTGAGCTAGCGATGCGAGCATGGTAATGCCGTCGGCACGGTCGGCTGACTGAAGATATAGACTCATGCCTTCATCGGCTAGCCTAGACAACTCGAACGCGAGAGCCTTATTGGCTTTGGCGAAACGTGGGATTGTCGTGGATGGGGCTGGTGTTAAGATCAGGGTCGGCAAGCACTTGGCGGACTGATTCCGCAAATCCGTCCGCTTGGCAGCCGCACCAACTCGCCAACCGCGTGTGCACCCAGTGGCGCCAACTCTTGACAGTTGGTCGAGTGCGTGGCGTGGTCCCTTGGGCATCAATTGTAAAGGTTGTTTGCTTCCAGTGCAGTGCGTTTGCATGGCTGAGGCGACATCTGCCAAGCTCTCCGCCGTTTTGCACATCAAAAATGCGTTGACATCTGAAGGCGAATCTGGGGTCGGCGATCCTGGAAAGTGTTTGCCACGAGGCGGAAGGCCAGGAGGATGCAAATCGGACGGGTCTACTTGTCTTCCAGCCAGACGTGACGCAGCGTCACAGCTGTCGGACGAGGTAGTGGCGGCCATGCGAAAACCAATTTCCAGCCGGACGTGACATAGCGTCACGGTTTTCGGATTTGGTAGTGGCGAGCATGCGACGGTCGGTGATTTCAGCCGGACGTGACGCAGCGTCACAGCTGTCGGCACCAAGGGGACGCGACCGGATGACTACGGGGGTCGAGAAACCCTCTGGCGCGTGAGCTCCAGTGGAAATCGTGCTCGAGTTCGAATCGAGTAGGTGTTCATCGTCGCCGTCAGGGATCGGGGTGTCAACCCATGTCGGCATTGCGGCGCGCTCGAACAAAGGAAAGAAACAGATGGCCCGAGAGATGAGGAGACGGGAGGGGCAAACGCGCGGGGCTCATAACCTGCGGAATGCCTTTTTTACCCTTGAGCCAGCAGCGCGGCAGCTCTCTCTCTCTCTCTCTCTCTCTCTCTCTCTCTCCGCACCATGCCTCACCCCCCCCAGTCTTTGTCTTCGTCTCCACCTGTCGCAGTCGTGCGGCTGCTGAACCACTGCGGCAACATCCTTCGACTCGGGCTGCCCATGGATGGCTTGGGCCCAAATACGGCGAATGGGGTGAGGAGGGGGGGCTAATGAGGATGTCTGGGAGACAAATGCAGGATGACAGAGGGAGGAGGAGGAGGAGGAGGAGGAGGAGGAGGAGGAGGAGGAGGAGGAGGAGCAGGAGCAGGAGGAGGAGGAGGAGGAAGAGGAGGAGGAGAAGAAGGAGGAGGAGGAGCAGGGGTAGGAGCAGGAGCAGGGGTAGGAGGAGAAGGAGGAGGAGGAGCAGGAGCAAGAGCAGGAGCAGGAGCAGGAGCAGGAGCAGGAGGAGTAGGAGGAGCAGGAGGAGCAGGAGGAAGGGGAGGAAAGGGAAGGGCAGGCAGGAAGAACAGGAGGGAGGGGGGAAGAGCAGGAGGAGGAGGAGGACAAGGCGGAGGAGAAGCGGGAGGAGGGGAAGGCAGAGGTGGGGGAGGCGAGGGAGGAGATGTATCGGAAGGGAGTGGCGATGGATTAGGGACAGGAGGAGCAACAGGAGGAGGAGGAGGAGGATGAAGACGACCACGACGACGATGACGACGACGACGACGACGGATTGGCTACCCAGACCCCCGATGTTGTGTTTCTTTCGCAACGTCAGCCCCTGGAGATCCCGACCACTTCCCTGGGGCGGCCAGCTTCTCAGTACACGGCCTTGGGGACCAGCGAAGGCTTCAAGGAGCCGAAAACGGTCAGAAACCGTCCGTCGTGATTCGCGACGCGAGGGGGTCTGGGTAGGGCTCCCTTAGGCTGCTTACTCTTCGCAGGGCCCCAGCGCGCGCCTTGTCGGCGCCAAGATGCACAGACGATATCAAAGCGACGTGCAGCCCAAGTCGAGCTATCAATCCAATTCTTTGTGAAGCAAGCGCTGGTTCACCCCACAGGTACCGGCTTCGCGCTGAAATTTCACAGTGGCAAACAGATCGACGAAACATGCAAGAGCAGCAGCAGTAGAGAGAGGGAGAGGAAAGCAGGAGGGATGGCAGTCACGTTGAGTGTTGTGTTGGCGTCAGCGCTCGTGGCGTCGCCGCCACCCCGCGGCCCTAGACGACCCGAGGCGGCGACGTCATGCTGAACGCCTACGCCGCGCTGTCGGCGCCGCTGCCGGCGCTGCAGGCCCATCTGGTGCCGCGGCCTGGCGCTGCAGACCCCAGACTTCCGACGTGTTTCGAAAGTTCGAGGTTCGAACCCAGACACCCTCGCGCCGTGAAAAAAACACGCCGTAAGGTTTGCACTATTTTCGGGCTCTGGGGGCCATTCAACGGGCCCCGAGACCGTCAAAAACGGCTCAGGACGAAAAAATTGCCCCCGGGAGTGAGTGGGTCGAGGCCTCTTTGGGCGCACATGTTGAAAACACCCACAAAAACATGACGTCGGGTGTTCCTGGGAAGCTCGAGGTTCTCTGACGTTTCGGTTGGTCCCTGGAGGTTTCCCAGCCCGGGGTGCCTTCAGCAGCTGCGCCTCGCCGAGAGCGCTCCAAGGGGTGATCGGATCAGCCCCAGACGCCCGCCGCAGGCCCGAATTGTGGCCCGAAAACCTCCGATCCCCCCAGACCGACCTTCCACGCATCCAATCAAACAACAGAGCGACAGTTTGTCGCCGCGTCAAACCTCACGTGCACTCGCTGGGAGGCCTGGGGCCGCCGGCGGGGCCACCGACGCCAGAGCCATCGACGGCAATGCATTCGCTAGTTGTCGCCGACGATACCAGCGACGACAGCAGCGACGAATGCAGCGACGACGACGGCGACGACGGCGACGGCGACGACGGCGACGGCGACGGCGACGGCGACGGCGACGGCGACGGCGACGGCGGCGGCGACGGCGACGGAGACGACGACAACGACGACGACCACGACGGCGGCGATGATAACGCCTACGATGGCCGCGCTGGCAGCGGCGGCGACGACGACGACGACGACGACGACGACGCCGACGACGACGACGACGGCCGCGTCAGCGGCGGCGACGACGGCGACCGCCCGCGCCCTGCGAGGCTGGCGACGCCGGAGCCGTCCACGACGGCGGCGACGACGACAACGACGCCTACGACGCCAACGACAACGGCGACGACGACGAAAGCGAATGCGACGGAGACGGTGACGGCGACGACGACGACGGCGAAAGCGAATGCGACGGCGACGGTGACGGCGACGGCGACGGCGACGGCGACGGCGACGACGGCGACGGCGACGGCAACGACGACGACAGCGACGGCGACGACGACAACGGCGACGACGGCGACGCCGACGCCGACGCCGACGACGACGAAGACGGCGACGGCGACGGCGACGGCGACGGCGACGGCGAGGGCGACGGCGACGGCGACGGCGACGACGACGGCGACGGCGACGGCGACGACGACGGCGACGTCGACGACGACGACGGCGACGGCGACGACGACGACGACGGCGACGACGACGACGGCGACGGCGACGGCGACGGCGACGGCGACGGCGACGGCGACAATGGCGGCAGCGACGGCGACGACGACGACGGCGACGACGACAACGACGACGACGACGACGACGGCGACGGCGACGACCGCGACGACGACGATGACGGCGGCGACGACGACGAC